CCACGCTGCTGCAACTCTCGAGCCAGGAAGTAACGCAGAGCGATGTGCTTCGTTCTGTGCTCCAGTCTGTGCTCCTCACACAAGGCGATGGCGGCCTTGTTGTCAACGTACAGAACTGGAGGAGAACGAGGCCGCTCTCCCAGGTCGGTCAGCAGGTACGTGAGCCAGCGCAGCTCCTGAGCAGCCATGGCGGTGGCGTAGATCTCAGCCTCACAACTGGAGCTGAGAACAGAAGACGAGCGAGTAGAACGCCACGAAACAGAACCAGAGCCGAGGCTGAAAGTGTAACCCTGTGACGACCGCTGTGTAGCCTGGTCGTCAACCCAAGACGCGTCTGAGTGCCCAGTGAGGACCACCTCTCGCCGTCCTCCAAGCACGAGCCCCATGCCCGATGTACTGCACAAGTAGCGCAGTACCCTCTTCGCAGCATCCCAGTGCACCTTTCGGTGCCGACCAGGAGCCACGTAGCGGGCCAAAAGGCCAAGAGGGTACGCAAGGTCAGGACGAGTGCAAGTCATCAGGTACATGAGGCAGCCTACTAGCTCTGGGTAAGGACCACTCGGCTCTACGGACTCGTCCGAAGGTGGAGCTGAGAGCGAGTGACCTGTAGCCAGAGGAGTGGACTGTGCCGAGGACCAGGTGAAGCCGAAGCGCTGAAGGACCTGCTGCACCATGTGTGACTGAGTCAGAGTGATGGTGCGACGTGCTCTGTCCCGGGTGATCCGCAAGCCAAGGTAGCTGCGCAGCTCACCCAGGTCTGTGCACGTGTGTCTCTTCTGCAGCTCCGACTTCACCAGGGCGAGAGCCTCAGTGTCAGCAGTGGCAAAGACCAAGTCGTCGACGTACACGAGGATGTAGAACGGCGGCAGCGAGGTGTCGGTGCGCAGAAACAGTGACGGGTCAGCTGTGGAGGGCGCAAACCCGAGAGCCGCAAGCGTAGTCCTCAGTGTGTCGTGCCACTCACGAGGCGCCTGACGGAGACCGTAGACTGGCCGGCGGAGGCTCCACTGGGTACCAGGAGGGAACGACCCAGTGAAGCCAGGTGGGCGGCGCAGCCAGATCTCCTCGTGCAGGCTGCCCTGCAAGAAAGCTGTGCTGAAGTCAAGCGAGTGAAGCTCGTAGTCACGCTGGGCGGCAGGCAGGCAGGCAGGCTGACAGGCAGGCAGGCAGGCAGGCAGGCAGGCAGGCAGGCAGGCAGGCAGGCCAGCAGGCAGGCAGGCAAGCCGACAGGCAGACAGGCCGGCAGGCAGGCAGGCAGGCAGGCAGGCAGGCTGGCAGGCAGGCAGGCAGGCAGGCAAAAAGACAGGCAGGCAGGCCGAAAGGCAGGCAGGCAGGCAGGCAGGCAGGTGCTCACCAAAGGCTGGAAGGGCAGGTGCTCGCCGGGCGAGCAGGGCCGAGTAGGCGCACGACCGCAGCTGCGATGGGGCCGGAACAGCGACAGTAGAGTAGGGCCGCAGCAACTGCAGGGTGGGGGGCCGCTTCAGCGGCAGTCGCAGAGTGGGGGCCGCATCAGCGGCAGGTCGGAGCCTCGGCAGCAGCAGCGAGGGGCCGCAGCAGCGGAAGGTCGGGGCCGATGCAGCTGCAGGCTATGCAGGGCAGCGCGCGGGGCTGCTGTGGGCCGAGCGCGGGCTGCGGGAGGCAGAAACAGGCCGCGCGCAGCAGCAGCTGGCCGCGCGCGGCTCGGCAGGGACTGCGCGCAGCAGCAGCAGGCCGCGCGCGGCTCGGAAGGGGCTGCGCGCGGCTCGGGGGGGGTCGCGCGCGGCAGCAGCGGGCTGAAAACGGGCTTTGCGCGGCTCGGCGGGGCCGCGCGCAGCAGAAAACGGGCTGCGCGCGGCTCGACGGGGCTGCGCGCGGCTCGGCGGGGGCTGCGCGCGCCAAATCCGGGCTGCGCGCGGCTCGACGGGGCTGCACGCGGTTCGACGGGGCTGCACGCGGCTCGCTGGGGGCTGTGCGCTGCGCTGACGGCGTGTGAGGGGCAGCAGAGCGGCGCGAGCAGCGAGGGCGACGCTTGAGGCAGCAGCGGGCAGCGTGCGTTACTTAGGTCTGCGCGGTAGCAGCAGCAGACAACACAGTAGGCAGCAGGCAGTAGGCTACAGGCAGACGGCGCGCGCAGCGCAGCACGTCACAGGCAGAGGCACAGGCGTGGGGTAGCGGTAGGTGGGCCCGAAAAAAAACGGTCCTACGGACCTACTGCTCTGAAACCATGTCAGAATCTAGAGACAAGAATGAATGCATTGATCAAGAGTTGGGTACATAAGCTAACCCTAACATTGGGTTGTACCCCATATGGGCTACCCCACTAGCAGCCTACACAAACACAATATGCATAGTTTGACATCTACCCCCGTAGAGGAACCTGCGTGGCAGCATATCCGCTGCGCTGGCAGGGAATCTTCCCCACCCTTCGAGAGGGTTCGAAAGAAATGCACCTGCGTGGCAGCGCATGCGGCTGTGATTGGGCCGCACGGCAACATCCCCGTCAGTGCTGTCACGTTCGATGCTTCTAGACAGCATTGTGCGGTGGGAAACCGCACCGCGGCTGTTTTTGCCTGAAAACCATGCACGTTCCCACGTGCTGCATGGTCCGGTGGATTCGCCTTATTGCGGGCTTCAGTTTAGTATGTTTAAAAGTGAATTTCATTTTTTTCCGTATTATACGCGCATGCGCTTATACATACACCTCAATTAGAAGCGCACCCCCCCAAAAAACACCGTTTTATTATAAGCGCACCTGCGCTTCTATCCCGGGTAATACGGCACCTTTGATTGAAACATCCAACTTACGGTATGCATGCACTACTGCAATACAATCCACACGAACCACCGGCCACAACAGCACAAGCCCAACACCTGCCATCAGCCACACTACGGTACCTTAAATTCCCCCAGCATCATCTCCCCTTGCCCCCCTTCCCCCCCTTGCCCTTGCGTCGCCCTGTCGCCCCCTTAGCCCCCGCCTTGCGCCCCTCTGTGGCGCTGCTGCTGCCAGCACTGGTGGCAGCACTGGCGGGTTGAGAGGCAGAGGAGGGCGTGGGCGCATGCGCATGGGGCTCTGGCGTTGCTGGTGCCTTGTGCTGCTGCTCTGTATGTGCATGATCATGTGCATTCGCATGGTCATGGGCATGTGCATGGTCATCAGTGTGGTTGTGTGCATGGCCATGGCCATGGTCATGGGAGTGGGAGTGGCCACCGCAACAGCCATCATCTTTATGACTATGTGCATGTGCATCCCCGTGACCATGCTTGTGCCCGTGCGAATGCCCATGACTATGCCCATGCCCATGCCCATGCCCATGTGAGTGACCATGCGAGTGACCATGGGAATGACCATGCCCATGCGAATGACTATGCCCATGACCATGCCCATTCCCATGGTCATGCCCACAGCATCCCCGCTGCATGCCAGCAGCCAGCCCGCCAGCACCAGCGCCCATGGCGGCCGTCACAGCCGCCTGCTCCTCCTCCTCCTCCACCGCATCGCCAGCCGATGGCAGCAGCAGCTTCAGCCTGAACGCATCTGAGCCGTTCAGATAATACCGGTGCAGCAGCTTAGCGCGTATGAACCCTAGATTCCCGTACAGCGCCAGTGCGCCTTCGTTAGTCACCTCTGCTTCAAGCACCACCTCCGCGCACCCCGCGTCGCGCATCGCCTCGATGCACCGCGACACGAGGCTCGTCGCGATGCGTCGCCCGCGGAACTCCTTCGCGACGACGAGCATCGCGATGTACCCGCGCGGTACAGCGCGCTCCGCCTCCATCTTGCACACCACCGCGCCCACGCACCGCCCCTCCGCCTCGCCCTCCGCCGCCTCAGCGGCGCCTTGGCTAGCGGAGTCCGGGGTGCGGGCGAGGAAGGTGAGGTGAGGCCAGTGGTGGAGGAAGTAGCGGTAGGTGAAGACGGAGTAGGGCTCCGACAGCTCGCACTGCACGAGCCGCATCACCGCCGCCAGATCCGCCTCTTCCGATCGGTACGCGTGGTACGAGTTCGCGCCCTCGCCCGCGCCGCCCTTCGTCGCGTCGTCAACCCCGCCGCCCGCATCGGCGCTATCAGCGCAATGCGGATCTGCGGCGACAGCGGTGGCCATGATTTGATCTGATTCGACGAATGCCGCGTCGATTCTATTTGCGCAACGCTTCGACGCGACCTTAGCTATAACCGCCGCATGGCAACCTAGACATGATACAAGCTAAGGGGTAGCGGGAACAATGAAGTCACATTTACAACAGCTTGATTTGCCAGGGTGATCTTGGTTACCCCATCACGTATTCCTGACGCACGCCCCCTATTTTGCGATGACAGATCGAATTGCGAACTTCGCCATGCATTTGGTAACAAGCGAGCTCACACAGCAGAACCAGCAATCGCCAATCAGCAGCTCTCCCGCTTGTGCTCTGGTCTCGAGCTCTCCTCGCTTTCACCTGACAACCAACCTTGGGAACTGGTGCTGCGCCTAGTTGTGCTGCCCGTCACCTCGGAATCCCCAATGGTTCCCTGAAGAACCGCAATGGCTGCTCTCACTGAAGAAATGAAGCACTCTTGCAATGAAGCACAATCCTCATAATCGCATTCCTGCCACTCTTCCTAGCCAAAATTTCGCCAAGCGCGTACTTTCGGCCAATCTATATCGATTAGCTTATTGTTTCTGCTTGAACGGTTACCTACTGCCATCGTAGAACACAAGTGTATATGATTTTTACTAGCGCAGAAAGGAGTCGTCAGTTCGGCAAAACAATAGAAGGGCTACAAAGCGCCTATTGGTTGACGGAGTCGACGAGCTCGTCCCCGCATGAGGCGGTAGATGGAGGCGTCAGAGCGACGCCCCCTCGTGGCTCGCGCAGTCAGGTCCAGCGACCACACGAGCGCAGATCCATCGCAATTATCGTCGCACCGGTCGTCGCAACGCTCGTCGCACAGCCATCGCAATCAGGACCTCCATCCGTTGACGAGCATCGTCATATTCTGCGGCTATGGCGTCGCGCTCCTCCTCGCATTCAACATCATGCGACTGGGGCCTGCGTCGCCCTCGTCGCATCCCGTCGCAGCGTGCGTCGCCTCGCATGGTGACACGTGCGACTGGGCGACCCGCGCGACCCATCAGCTGCTGCACCGCCCGTGGAGCCCTCCCGTAGCGGCGCTGGCCGTGCTGGGGTTCGCGCTGCTGTTGCTCCGCGCACTTTCTGGGCAGGCGGCGCGAGTGCGCGATCTGGAGATGCGATTACTAGGGGCGGCGGGGGAACAGGCGGTTGAACAGGAGCGGGTGAGCAAGGGGGAAGAGGAGGAGAACATGGTGGGGAAGAAAGGGAGGATAGGGAAAGAGATTGACGGGGTGAAGGAGGAGTGCGCGAGAGCGAGGGGTGCGGATGCAGGCACGGTGGTTGGCGCATTGGTCTCACGGGATGGGGACGTGGCTGCGCGCGCAGCTGTCGACCTGCTGGTTCACGGAATAGCGGCGCCCATGAGAGGTGCGCTGCGCTCCCCCTCCCGCTTCCCGCCCACCTCTTCCGTGTCAGATCCGCTTCTCGTGTGCTTCTCTCCCAATGTGCCCACTTCCGAGCTCACTAGTCCGCCATGCATGTGCGCATGCCCTCCGCGCGACCCCCACAGGCGCGCTGGGCATGCTGCGCCTGCTGGCGGCGACCGTGCGCGACCCCATGCACCTCGACCTCATCCACTCGCTCCACGCCTTCGCCGCACATCTCACCCGCCTTGCCGCCGCCGCCAGCGCCACGTGGCGCGCGCAGGCCGGCCCGCTGCCCGTGGTGACGTCAGCGGTGGACGTGCGGGGGGTGGCGGACGAGGTGGTGGGTTTGGTGGGCGGGGAGGCGCGCGAGAAGGGGTTGGAGCTGGCGTGCCTCGTCATGGACGACGTGCCTCCGCTGCTGCTCTCCGACGCCCTCCTTCTCAAACAGGTCGCTGCTGCTCCCTGCCCCCCGCTCGCTCCCTGCTCCCTGCTCCCTGCTCCCTGCTCCCTGCTCCCTGCTCCCTGCTCCCTGCTCCCTGCTCCCTGCTCCCTGCTCCCTGCTCCCTGCTCCCTGCTCCCTGCCCCATGCCCCTTGCCCCTGCCATCCCCCCTTGATCCTCTCTCGTCCTGCCCAGCCCGTTCCTGCATAGCCCATCGCTGCTGCTTCTTTCCTGCCCCTTCTGTCCCTCCTTCACGGCCTTCCTGCCTCTCTCCCACCCTCCCCTCCCCCCCCTGCAGCTGCTGCTGGGCGTGGCGGCAGCAGCAGTGCAGCGCACGGAGCAGGGCCACGTGCTGCTCTGCGTGCGACTGCTGCACCCCCAAGAGGCCCTCCACCGCCACCAGCAGCAGCAGCAGCAGCAGCAGCAGCAGCAGCAGCAGCAGCAGCAGAGGGGCGGGCATGAGAAGAACCGAGTGGTGGCGGTGAGTGGGAGTGCGGGCGTGCAGCAGAGGCACGATGATGACAGCAGCCTGCTCCTGCCGCCCTCACGCATGCCCCTCCCACCGCCCACCCACCACCACCCCCTCTCCCCACCCCCCACCACAGCCTCCGCCTCCACCTCCGCGGCCCCTTTCCCCTCTGTGTTCTCCGCGCCCTCCTCCCCCTCCTCCCTCTTCTCCAGCCCCGATCTCCTCGGACTGGGCGGCATCGCTCGGCGCCTAGCGGCGTATGCTGCTCCGTGGAGCGAGCAGGGGGGGCAGGAGCAGGCGGGCAGCGGGGCGGGTGTGTTTGCGTCGCTCTCCGCTGACTCGTGGCTGCAGCAGGGGGGGCTGGCACACAGCGATGCCTATGAGCACCGCCAGCAGCAGCGGCAGCAGCATCAACAGCAGAATCTCCAGCAGCGGCATGAGCAGCAGCGTCGCCAGCAGGAGCAGCAGCAGCAGCAGCAGCAGCAGAATGAGCAGGAGCAGGAGCAGGAGAGTGGAGGCAGGGGCAGTTTGAGCGGGAGGCGGGTGGTGGACGGGCGGTGCAGCTGGGGGACGCTGAGGCGGTTGCTGGACGACCAGGAGAGCCGATTCGCTGCTGCCGTCGCACACGCTGTTGCTACTGCTGGTGCAGGTGATGGTGGCGGCGGCGCTGCTTCTGGTGGTGGAGGTGGGATGGGGCAGGTGTGGGTGGAGGTGGTGGTGGAGGACACGGGTGTGGCCGTGCCTCAACCCGTGGTGGACGCACTCAACGCCCTGGACCGCGCTAACGCTGCTGCCCGCGCGTGTGCTGCTGTACCAGAGTCGTTCCTGCCTCTCCATGCCACCACGCCCCTGCTGCTCGCCCATGCACACCTGTGAGTGCCCGCCTTCATGGCACCTAAGTAGCAGCACTTGTCCTTTCAATCGCCCCTGCCTCATGCGCCCCTGCCCTGCGTTCGCCTCACGCCCACACACCTATCCCCACATTCCTCATCCCCTTAACCTGCCTCCTCCTTCCCCCTGGCAGCCTGGCGACATCTCTGGGCGGATCTCTCTCGCTCGCCACAGCACCCACCATCGGCACCACCATCGCTCTCTCCATCCCCATGGCCCTCCCCCCTCTCGCCCCCACGCCCTCCTCCTCCCCCGCCCTCCTCCCCTCCGCCCCATCACCTCCCCCGCCCCATGCGCCTCTCCCCCTGCCTTCCGCCCCGCCTCTGCGCCCTCCTTCCCCCGTGCGGGGGGAAGCAGCGGCAGTGAGGGGGGGTTGGCGGCGCTGGTGGGGCTGTGGGAGAGCGTGGGGGCGGAGGGCGGGCTGTGGGAGGCCATGGGGCTGGGGGGAGGCGTGGGGCAGGGCGGAGGGGGAAGGGATCCCGGTGCTGCTGCAGCAGGGGGAGGCGCAGGGGAGGGGGGCGCAATGGGGGGCGCATATGAGGGGAACGGGGATGGAGTTGCCAGTGAGGGGGGGAGAATGGGCGGGTGGATGGGGGAGGTGGGGGTGAGGGAGGTGGGGGCGGCGGAGAGGAGGGCAGTGAGGGAGATGGGGGCGGTGGGGGGTGTGGCGGGCGAGCAGTGGGAGGCAGTGGCGCCGCTGGTGGAGCAGGTGCAGGGCGTGCGGTGCCTTGTGGTGGACAGCAACCCCATCCGGCAACAGGCAAGGCTGTATTCAGCTGCTGCTCATACCAACCTCCGCTGCCTGCTGCACTCGGCACCAACTGCCTCTGATTCGCCTGCTCATATGCCACATCCAACCCATGCTCCCCACCCCGAATTCCCTTTTCGCCCCCCATGTGCCAGGTGGCAGCATCACTGCTGTCGCGCCTGGGCATGGACGTGGATCTCTCAGACAGTGTGGCTGACGCCGTTACTGCCCTCCAGTGCGCCCCTCCCGCCCTGCACCCCGGTCAGCTGCCTCCCGCCCTGCACCCCGGTCAGCTGCCTCCCGCCCTGCACCCCGGTCAGCTGCCTCCCGCGCCCCACACGCAGCTTCACTCCTCTCTCTTCCCTCACTTGCAACCATCTGCCCCACACACTCTCATCATGCTGTGTCGTTTGCCACTCCTGCCCTCGTGATTCCCATGTTATTCCATACTCTCCCTTTCCGCATTGTGCCCCTCTTTCTCCTTTCTTCTGTGCATGCAGCAGCAGCAGCATGGCAGGGAGGGGTGGGGAGCAGTGGGAGCCGGTGGGACGTGGTGCTGGTGGATGCAGACTGCGATGGCACCCCGGGCTCCGGCCTCCTCCTTGGCTCCCATGTGGCCCGAATCAACGCCGCCCACGCCGCCGCCCATGTCGCCGCCCATAATGCCTACTCTCACACTGCCGAGCACACTGTCGCACATGCTCCCGGCAGCGACTCTGCTGTTGCCCCCGCTGCTCCTGCTATGGCCGTTTCTGCAGGGGACATGGACCATGCGAATGCAGCAGGGGCAGCATCAGCGGCAGGGGCAGAGGCAGGGACGGGGGGCAGAGGAGGGTTCACGCCATTGGTAGATGATGGCGTGGGTGGGGAGGATAAGGGGGATAGTGGGGCGAGAGAGGGGTGTGGTGGGGGGGCGGACATGGGGGCAGGACAGGCAGAGCAGAGGGTATGGGGTGAGTGCAGAGAGGGCGAGCGTGGGGAGGGGGTGGTGGAAGGGCGTGTGGGGAGGGAGGAGCGGGGTGAGGGGGAGCAGTCACAGGTGCAAGCACAGGCACAACAACAACAGCAGCAGCGGGCAGAGGCAAAGGCAGAGGCAGAGGCAGAGGCAGAGGCAGAGGGAGAGCAGCAGCGGTGGGCGGAGAGTGCAGAGTCGCTTGTGTTGCCTGCCATCTCATCCAAGCTCGTGCTGGTGGCTCAGGTTAGTGGCACTCACACAGGCAGAGGGGACGCACACAGGGGCCCAGAGGCATAGGTCAGAGGGGCAGAGTGATGCGCAGGGTGAGGCGATGGTGGGAGGTGCAGCAGTTCAATGCCAAGCCATTATGCTTGCTCCTGCTCATCTATATGCATCGTTTGCTGTGTGCGTGCATGTGTGTGTGCGTGTGTGTGTGTGTGTGTGTGTGTGTGTGTGTGTATGTGTGTGTGTATGTGTGTGTGTGTGTGTGTGTGCGTGTGTGTGTGTTTGTGAGTGCATGTGTGTGTGATTGCATGTGTGTGTGTGAACCGAGGGCGTGCAGGCAACGAGTGAGGACATGGCATTGGAAGCAGCGGCACACGGCTTCTCCTGCATCGCCCTCAAGCCCCTCCGCACGCCAGTGCTCGCTACAGCCATGCTGCAGGTGCGTGCTCGCTACAGCCATGCAGCAGGTGCGTGCTCGCTACAGCCATGCTGCAGGTGCGTGTGTTTTGTTTGCTCACTAGAAATCAAAGCCTTTGCATCAGTGCTCTGTTTTGGTTGTTGCTGTCGTCCAACCATTCCGCCTTCTTGCCCTTCCACTCTTCCACTCCTCCTCGCTTCCTGCGCATGCCCTTCCCCCCCACCCTGCCAGGCCCTGGGCGTGAGTGCGAGGGAGGTGCAGCAGGCAGCAGCACAGCAACAGCAGCTGCACCTTAGACGACTGCTGCGAGGCAAAGTGGTGCTGGTGGGTGCAGAGTGGTGCTGGTGTGTGGGTGCGTGGCTGGTGGACAGGAACGAGTGTTGAGCATTGGACTGGCATGGCAACTATTCCCATACCCCACTGACACGGCAGCACACGCAACATCTCGACGTGCCAGAACCCTTCAGTAAGCCTGGCTATCCCCTCACCACTCCCTCCCCTTCTGCTGCTCCTACTCCCCCATGCCAGGTGGTGGACCCGCGCTTCACCACGCGCAAGGCAGCAGCTGTGGCCATCTCCCAGTTCTCTGATGCAGCCTGTGCCGTCGCCTCACCTGCAGAGGCCCTCGCACGCCTCTCCCCGCCCCACCACTTCCACCTCGTGCTGCTCTCCCTCTCCCTCCCCGACCTCCCCCCGTATGTTCCACGCCCCTTGAGTCTCTTCACTGCTTTGTGCCTGAACTGCGTCTCATCCCCGGCTCTGTCCCATTTGTGTAGTGCATCATATCAGTTATTTTTCACATCGCTGCTTGCGTTCTCACCTTTTGTGTTACGTATTGTTAATTTATGTGTATTTAATCTGTACTGGTGTGGCATGGGACTGGTGGTGTGGTCAATTCCAGATCGCTCTTTGTGCAACGGTTGCGAGAGATGGAGGCTGCAGCACCTGGGGGTGTAGCGGGGGGGAGCGGGGAAGGTGGGGGAGGTCCAAGAGTGGGCGCTGAGATGCCTAGGAGTGGCAGTGGCAGCAGCGCTGCAGCGGGTGGTGCTGCAGAGGGGGCATGTCAAACTCAAGTGCCTGTTTTGGGGATGGTTACTGATTTCCTCACCAACGACCTGCCACCACGGTAAAACATATTTGCTATCTTCAGCTCCATGCCCTGCTTTGTTATGGTGTGCATATCCTGCGCTAAGTTACTGACACTAACACCTTAAACTAATTTGTGCCTTCTCCCATTTGAATCACCAGGTTGAGCGACTGCCGTGTAGACGGTCTCCTGGCGACACCCATTTGTGAATCGCAGTTACTATCAACACTTAGAACCCTTGTTGCATGTGGAAAATTTATATGAACAATATCACTAATGCAAGTAACGTGTACATTTTGCTGAACCAAGCCGCAAAACCGGGTAAGGGGAGAACACCATTCCTAACTCCAAGGTTGTGGCTGGTGCGTGGGATGGACTCGAATCTCCATGGACGAAGGGCTTACCCACCAGCTCAGCGGCGGGCAGCCCAGTCAAACGGGTGTATCTGGGCGAATTTCGAGCCTAGATGTTGCTTTTCCGAATCTCCAGCCAATCACAGCTCATGGCACGTCCTCACTCTGATGTTGACGATAAGTTGCTTATGGAAGCGACCAACCCTAGCGTTCGCCAATGGTTCTTGAGTCGCGTGTGGGATGAGCGATTGTAATCGCAAGACGTCGCACTATCTCGCCGTCGCCATCCCTTTGTCAACAGACAACCTAACACCACATCAACTGCTGCTCTTTAGCAGCTAACACACTATCACAATAGTAGGAGGCACTAGGCAACTATCCGGGGGGATGCGAGAATGGCTTTAGTCGCATCGAGCGTACGGGCCGCCGCCATTGACGCGTGCATATCGTCTTCCAGCGCATTAATTCACGCGTCGCCGTCGTATGGGCCAGTCGCCTCCCTCTCCGCGTCGTTAATTCGCTTAGCCTCATCACGTCTCTCACCAAGCAGCCAGTCCTCTCCCTTCCGTTCCCCGCACGCTTCCGCAGCTTCGTCATTCTCCTCCTTTTTTTCCGGTAGGAAGCTCATCGCGCCATGCATACCACGGCCGGCGGTAGGCCGCGATCGGCGGCGGGTGGCAGTGGTGTCGGCGGTGGGGAGCGCGGAGAGCGGAGGCGCGGATGCGTTGGGGATGGCGGGAGAGGCTTACGGGCAGATGGCCGAGGCGCTGCTTAACGGGTGAGCGCCGCACAGGGCGAATTGGTTGCTGGCGAGTCGTAGTGTGCGACTGTAGTGTGTGCGACTGTAGTGTGTGACTGTAGTGTGCGACTGTAGTGTGCGACTGTAGTGTGCGACTGTAATGTGTAGTATGCGACATGGATGGTCGAACTAGTGAGTGGTAGAGGAGCTTAGCATGCTGAGAGGCGTCGGTATCAGATAAGTACGAGCGGGCGTCGTCGCATGGAGCTGGAGTCGGCGGTAGAGTTACCATTTGGGATAAATATCAGGCTGAAAATGCTTCGGTAGAATGACTGATTGTTTCAAACCGGACTTGTTCGTTCTAGCAAACAGTGTCCGCGCCGCGCGTTCACTTAACGCGTGCAGTGTGCTGCGTCGCATGTTACTCGCAGGCAGCCAATTTAACCAATTCCGGTTAAACGCTCTCATTACTCGCTGAGCGACGTGCAGTTCACTCCACTCCAGCCAGCTTCAAATCATTCCATCCCTTGGCGCCGTGCCGGCCGTTTTCATGTTATTCCACGTCCCTGCTTTCACATAATCGACTCGCGTGGCGCCATGGCAGGCTGCCGCCCGAGGTGGAGCAGGCGGTGGTGGCGGTGCATCGCGAGATCGCGCAACTCGCGGCGGACGCGGGCCTCTCCATTCCGCTCGACGACCCGGTCAGTCGCGCCCGCCACTCCGCGCACCCGCCATGCCGCCGCGCACCCGACTCGTGCATGCGTTCTCCGTTCCATCGCCTCGATTTTTCTCCTCTTCTCCGTCGCCTCCGCGCATCCGTTCCGCGCTCCCCTCGCCCTGTTGCCTTTCCGTCGTCTCCATCCCTTTCCCCCAAACCCCTTGCCTTCTTGTTCTTCCCCGTCCGCCACCCATTCTATCCCCTTTCCCCACCCGCCTTCCTCCCCGCGCGTCACCCGTGCAGGCGTCGTTGCGCCAGTGGACGGTGGCGCTTGTGCTGCTCGTGCTGTACGCCGCCGCGCCCCCCGCGCCGCTCATGGGGCTGCTCGACTTCCTCGTCGCGCCCCTGCACGCGCGCACCGACAAGTAATGCGCCCGCCTCGCGCCCTCACTCTCGTCCGCACTCCCATCCGCACTCCAACCTGCACTCCGTTCTGCTGCCATCGCATTGCTGCGCGTGTTCCACCAGTGTGCCTGCTAGGCCCGTGCACGCTGGCCCTGCTGCTGCCTGTAGCATTGACCCTTGCTCCGCTGCGGGCCCTCTTCCCCTGCTCCCTCCCCCCGCCCCCCCCCCCCCCCCAACGCCTTTGCCCCTTGCGCCTGGCGGCAGGGAGCTGGACCCGGCGCGGGTGAAGGTGGGGCGGCAGATAGGCGAGGGCAGTTTCGGCGTGGTGTTCGAGGGTTTCATCTCCAACGGTACGGTCGCCACCTCCTCCCTTCCTTTCCCTCCCTCCCTCCCTCTCTCTTCCTCTCTCTCCCTCTCTCTTTCTCTCCCCCTGTGCGTGTGTGTCTCTGTCGCCTCGTCGCACGCCAAGCCATGCGCATGTCCGCTCGCACTGCTGTCCTCCGTGTCCTGTGCCCCGCTGCGCCGTGTGCATGTGCGAGCAGGCAAGGCGGGCAAGGAGGGACGGTGGGAGCGGCGGGTGGTGTTGAAGCGAGTCAAGACGCGCGTGAAGCACTCCGACGAGATGAGGGACGTCGAACTCTACATGAACCATCGCCTGCAGGTGAATCAGTCAGCATAGTTTCTACCGCCCTCATGGTTAATGCAAGCCTGTTGCCACACAAGGACAACGGACCCTCGCTGCTATGTGCACCGCTCCTCACCTCCATCACCACCGCCTGTTCGTCACCTCCATCACCACCGCCTGCACGTCACCTCCATCACCACCGCCTGCTCGTCACCTCCATCACCACCGCCTGCACGTCACCTCCATCACCACCGCCTGCTCGTCACCTCTAGCGTTCACCCGTCCGTCTCCCCAACTCCCATTGGCTCGTGTGCTTGCTGCTCCGCTCCCCCCACCTGCTCATTCCACCCGTGCTTTACTTCTCCATCCCTCCCTCCCCCGTTCCCCTTACCCTTTTTCCCCCACAGCGCACGGCGCCGGGCGTGTGTGCGCGGTTCATAGGCACCATGCAGGTGGCGCCGGAGCAGGCCAGCGGCAAGCTCGAGGAGGTGAGCGCACGGCAGGCGCCCACACCACGCTGCGGCTGGGGTGGGGGTCGGGTAGAGATGGGGACGATTTGGAGATGCGTGCATATGGCTTGGCCTTGAGACGCGCGGGGCTGGGATGGGGAGGGGGCTGGGTAAGCGGTCGGGGCGTGGGAGGTATAGAGACATGTGCATGTGGGAGTGGTGATGTGGGGGTTGGTGCACGCAGGAGGCGCGCATGGGTGTGGTAGGAGCAAGTGTCGTCTCAATGCCCCAACGGCCCATGCCTCACACACTGCCCTCCCCACACACGCCCTCACACACTGCCCTCTCACCATCCCTCCCACCCCAACTCCCGCTCCTTCCACCACCTCGCTTCACGCAATTGCCACTGCAGTGCGGTGTGTACATGTACTTGGCTGTACTAGTATAGTCACCCCCCCCTCCCATTCACCCTACGCCTTTCCCTCCCTCGTACCATCTCTGCTCTCCCCCCCGCTGCCACAACACAACAGGGCGTGTGGCTGGTGTGGGAGTACCAGGGCGATCGCACGTTGGACCAGTTCCTGCGCCACCGCTCCTACCCGCTCAACCTCGCCAAACACGTGCTGGGCGTGGACGACGCTGTGAGTCACTCGCTGGGGGAATGCAGCCAGGGGAGTACACGCAGGGGGTTGGTGACGTGCTCGTGGCATGCAGGCGGGTGCAGAGATGCATGTGTCGTTCGTTCGTTCGTTCGTTCGTTCGTTCGTTCGTTCGTTCGTTCGTTCGTTCGTTCGTGGCAATGTGTGTAGCCTTACCCTTACCATGTCCTCTTGCATTTGTACACCCTGCTTGCTCTCCTGCCCTTTCCTCCCTCGCATCTTGCCTGCGTGCGTGTATGCGGATGTGAGAGCAGTTGTTGCGGGGCAGCAAGGGCAGCAGCGAGGAGGAGAGGGAGCAGCAGGTGTGGATGGAGTGGGAGGTGGCGCAGGAGGTGACGAGGCAGATCCTCTCCGACCTCAAGCACCTGCACTCCTGCGGTCAGTCAGTCACAGCACCACCCACTCACCACTGCCGTGCTTGCCATCAACTCCTCTGCCGTTCGCTTTGTCGCCTGCATCACCAGCATTCGCTTTGTCGCCTGCATCACCAGCATTCGCTTTGTCGCCTGCATCACCAGCATTCGCTTTGTCGCCTGCATCACCAGCATTCGCTTTGTCGCCTGCATCACCAGCATTCGCTTTGTCGCCTGCATCACCAGCATTCGCTCTTACCCTTTCCTCTGGGCCACCACCCATCGCCATCACCACCACCATCGCCATCACCACCACCATCGCCATTACAACCTTCACTGAACCAAAATGTGCATTTCCCCGCTCCCCTTCCCCTCCTCTCCCTTTCCTCTCCCCTTCCTCTCCCTTTCCTCTCCCCTTCCTCTCCCCTTCCTCTCCCCTTGCCTCCATCCCACCAGGAGTGGTGCACAGGGACGTGAAGCCATCGAACCTGATACTGGACGAGCTGGCGGGCAGTCTGTGTCTCATCGACCTGGGCGCCTGTGTCGACCTGCGCTCCGGCCACAACTACGTGCGTCCCCCCCTGCCCCGCCCGCACCCCTGCCCCGCCCGCACCCCTGCTCTTCTGCCATGCCACCACATGCCCTGCACCCTCGCCCCCGCCCTGCCGTGCACCGCATCCCCATCCCCCCTGCCGCGTGTCTCTCACCACCCCGCCTGCCTGATGCCATCCGTTTCTCCGCCAGCCATTGTCGTCTCCAATCGTTCTCAATCCGTCACCTGCCTCCACCGCACCTCCCGCTCCCCACCCAGTTCCAACGCTCCGTGCATGCAGCCATGGCTGTGCCGTGCACCCATCCATTCCCGCCTCTCATTCAACCACCTCTACTTGGCTTGCCTTCTCCCTTCACCACACTCATCTTGCCTTCCCTCTCCCCCCGTCCTCCGCCTCTCAACCCCCTCCGCCCGACCAGGTGCCCAACGAGACGGTGATGGATCCCAAGTACTGTGCACCGGAGCGCTTCGTCATGCCGCCCAGCTCCACGCCGCCGCTGCCGCCCGACCCGCTGGCGTCGCTGCTGTCGCCCTTCCTGTGGGCGCTCAACACCCCTGACCGCTTTGACGTCTACTCCGCTGTGAGCGCCCTCCTCTCACTCGCCGTGCATTGCTCCCTCACTCCCTCATCGCTCCATCACTCTCTCCCCATTGCCGCCTTTCCCGCCCATCCTCGCCTTCCCCTCCCATCTTGCCCTATTTATCTCCTCACCCTTCTCTCCCGTCCCTTCCCCCTTATGCCCCCGTCCCCCCCATGCTGTCCCGCACAGGGCATAGTGCTGATGCAGCTGTGCATGAAGCGACTGCGCAATGCGTCTGCTCTGGTGCGTCCCTTGTGCCTCGCATGCGTGGGCGCCAAACGCTTATTCTGCACGGCCCACAGCCTGCTCCTGCCCACCTCTTTTGCCTGCCTCTCTGCCCGCCCCGCCGTGCACGCGTCATCTCTTACCCGACCCCCATCACCTCGTCCTCTCACATTGCTCTGCCGTCTGCTCGCCCCCTCTCTCCGTGGGTGCACAGAAGGATTTCAACGAGGAGTTGAGGAGGTGCGACCACGACTTGGCCAAGTGGAGGGCCACGTTCAACCCCAGCGATGACGACATGGCCGTGCTCGATGCCAATGGTGCGCCTCCCATGCCCCCTTGCTGCCTGTGCATGCCACCGTGAATGCGGCTCACCCCATGACTGAGAGGATAGACGGGAGCTCATACCCCATTACACACACGCCTCCCATGCTCCTGTCTGCCCCTGCACCTCATGCCCCCCTTCCCCTCTCCTCTCACCGCTTGCCGTCCCTCCCCTTGCCCTCCTGTGTCTTGCCCCTCCTGCCTCCTCTCCACCATCTCTTCCCCCTCGCCCCTACCCCCTGGCATGGCAGGGGGAGCGGCATGGCAGTTAGCGCAGCAGCTGCTGAGGAAGCGACCCAACCATGAGGAGGCCGTGTGGCCCAGCGGTCAGTGCGCGGGACTGGGTGGTGGGTGCTGGGGGAGCTAGCCCATGCATGCACGCACTCATGCGCGGGCAATAGTCCATCACTCCACGTGCAACTTCCACCCTGCATTTCCGTTCGTCCTCGTTTGCATGCGACCATCCCTCTTTTCTCTCTCTTCCCCCACTCTCACTCCTCCCCTCACTCTCTCAACCCCCACATCATCCCCCCTCTATCCCTCTCTTCCCCCATGTCCCCTTCCCCTCCCCACAGCCATGGGCGGGCGGCCATCCGCAGCCCAGGCGCTGCGCCACGCGTTCTTCTCCCTGCGCGCGCCAGAGCCCTACCGCGCGTCACGCCTGGCAGCGGCCACGCAGGCAGCGCTCTCAGGCACGGCGTACGCCACGCTGGGGCGCGGAGGGGGCGCCATGGCGCAGGCCAAGGCGCGCGCTGCCCAGGAGAAGGCCCGGGTGGCGGGGCGGGTGGAGGGGCGGAAGGGCAGGGCGGGGGAGGAGAAGGGGGAGAAGGGCAAGGCGCGGAAGGAGGCTGGGGAGAAGGGGGGGAGTGCTGGGGGAAGAGGAGGGGAAGGGATGGGCGTGGAAGGGCTGGTGATGGCGTGGGGGGGAAGGGGGAAGGGGGAGAGAGAGGAGTCAGGGAGTGAGGGGAAGAGCGCCGGTGGGAAGAAGCAAGGGGGGAAGGGCGCAGAGGGGTCAGGGGAGGGGAGGGTGGAGGAGGGGGTGGTGTTTGCGCTGCAGCAGATGTGGGCTGCTAGCAATGGCGGAGGGGGGAGTGGCAGTGAGAGCAGGGGGAAGGGGCGCGAGGAGGGTGTGGGGTCGGATGGCAGTGGGAAGGGGGAGAGGCGGGTGAGGAAGGCAGGCAAGGGGGAAGAGGGGGCGAAGGGGGCAAGGCAAGGGGCGGTAGCAGGCAAGGGGGAGGCGCAGGGGCAGGTGGGCGCACTGGGGGCATTGGGCGCGCTGGGCGCAGGGGGGGGAGGGCAGGGGGCGGAGGTGGTGCTGGAGGCGCTGAGGCGGGTGCTGGGGGAGGGGGTGGGGGCGGAGGGGGGGAAGGGGGAGCAGGGCGCAGTGGAGGGGCCAGCAGTGCGGTGGGGGGAGGGGGGCGTGCAGGGCATGGTGAGCGAGGGACGGCGGGTAGTGAGGGAGGCGTTTACTGGCGCTGTGGTGGCGCATGCGGAGGCGTACAGTGGGGGGTCGGAGGGCAGGGCGGGGGGCAAAGGCTCTGGGTCGGGCACGGACAAGGGGTCTGGCAAAGAGGAGGGTTCGGGCAGGGAGAAAGGGTCGGGCAGGGATGGCAGTGCGGGGAGCAGGGAGAAGGTGGCTTCGGGTAAGAGCAAAGGGGGGTCAGGGAAGGGGGATGGAGGCGAGGGGGGTGGGAGCAAGGGCAGTGGCAGGGGGGAGGCGAAGGAGGCAGGTGGGAAGGCGAGGAGGAAGGAGGAGGGCAAGGGGGCGCGCAAGAGAGAGCTGGTCGCCGCAGCCATGGCCAGCAGTGGCAGTGGCAGTGGCAGTGGCGGTGGTGGCAGCACGGTGGAGTTACCATTCGACCTGCAGCGCTCCAAGGTGGCGGCTGCCTATGTGCTTGGCTCCGCTGCTGCCTCCCTCGCCCGCCTCTTCGTGCCCCTCCAACCCTCCCCCGCCGCCACTGCTGCCAGCGCTCGCCCTGCACTGGCACCTGCTGCTGCAGCCCCAGCAGCATCAGCGCCAGCAGCAGTGCCAGCAGCGCTAGCAGCAGCGGCAGCGTCTAGCAAAAGAGCAGCAGCGGCAGCATCAAGTAAGAGAGCAGCAGGAGCAGCAGCAGATGCAGCAGTGGCGGCAGGTGCTGCAGCAGTGGCAGAAGGGGGTGCGGCGCAGCAGCAGCGGCGGCAGGAGGCAGGGGCGGGTGGGGCAGGGGGGGAAGGCGCACTGGCGCAGGCGCTGCTGCAGTGGGTGAGGGGAAGGGCAGGCGGGGGGAGTGATGCAGGTGGGGGGAGCAAAGGAGCAGCAGTGCAGGGCAATGGGGGCGCGGCCAATTACAAGCCCAGGGCTGGGCGGGGAGGGGAGAGCGGTGAGAGGAGAGCGGGGAAGCGAGGGAATGGGGGGGAGAGTGGGGGTGGTGGGATCTCGGGCGTGCGAGTGAGGTGGGGGCTGCTGGGGCTGGCAGCCAATGGCGTGGAGAGAGGCATGGAGAGGGCGAGAGGCGCAGGCCGGGGGGGCGTGGGAGGCGTGGGGGTGAATGGCAGGATGGCGGGGGTGAGACTCAAGCCCAGTGCCACCGCTGACGTGGCAGACCCTGTGACGGACAATGGCATCATCACTGACATCACTCTGGATCCGCAGGCCATTGCTGATGTCAGCCTGCTCCTGGCGTTGTGCAGTCAGGGTGACGAGGAGGAGAGGGAGAGTGGTGGGGAGAGTGGAAGCGAGGAGGGGAGTGAGAGGAGCTCTGTAGGAGCAGGGAAGCAGAAGCTTCACAACAGCAGCAGCAGCAGCAGGAGCAGCAGTGAGGTTGAAGCAGAGCAAACGTGTGCCACATCAGGCGCCTCTTCAGCACGAGCAGACCCCACTGCCCCTGCAGTCTTGGACGTATCTGTGCCCTCACGCGCCCTGTCCCCTGCCTCGTCCCCTCTGGACCCCGAGGCACACCCACTGGCGGCAGCGCTGCTGGCAGAGGGCGGTGCAGGCGGTGGCGAGGGTGTGGTGGGTGTGCAGCAGGCGGAGGTGCGGGTGGGGGGCGATGGGAGTGTGCAAGTGAGTGCGAGTGTGGGGGGTGTAGAAAGCACGGTGCTGCTGCGAGCGGACAGCACTGGGACGCTCGTCATGGCCGTGGGGGGTGCCACTGCGGGCCAGGCACCAGCAGCAGTGGCAGCAGCAGAGGGCGCAGAGGCGAGTGCAGTGGCAGCAGGTGGCGTGGAAGGATCCTCTCTGCCTGCTGCCTCGCCACAGCCCCTTGCCACTCCAGCCTCCACTGAGACTGCCCTTGGACAGTCGGTGCTGCCACTGTGGGGGTGGCTGGGAGGGCGAGAGCCAGCCAGAGAGGCGCTGGCAGAGGCAGCGGCTCAGCTCGCTGCAATCAGAAGCAAGCTGCCCTCCGCCTCCCCCCCTGCATCCCCCACCTCTCCTCCAGAACTCTCTCCCTCCACCTCTCTGGCCCCTGCTTCCCCGCCTGCACCACCCGCTTCGGCACCTACACTGGCGCCCACAGAGAATGCAGCATTTGTTGCTGGTGGTAGGGCGGAGGAGGAGGCGAGTGGGGAGGAAGAGAAGCAGAAGCAACTGTTATCTGCTGTTGATGTGCCGGCTGTGCCTGCTGTGGCTGAGCCATCTGTCACGGAAGAAAAACGGGAGGATTCAAGTCAAGGGATGGGAATGGAAGGGGCGCAGCGAGAAACAGCAGAGGGAACGCTGGTGGTGAGACCGGGTGCAGGAGAGAGAGCTGGGTTTGAGAGCACGGCTTTTTTCAGTGTGGATGCCAGAGTGGGGGAGAAGCTGGCGCAACAAGGGAGCAGCAATAATAACAGCAACAGCAGCAGCGGTGGTGTGCTGCATGGGCTGCAGGAGCAGCTATCGGGCCTGTCTCCCTTCGCCAGTGCCATTCGGGCCCTCACAGGCGTGTCACTGTGGGGCGGCGGGCAGAGGGTGGCGGGCGGCATGACAGAGGCGCAGGTGAGGGAGCAGCTGGAGGAGCTGCGGCGGAAGAGAGAGGCGCGCAGAGCGGGGGCTGAGGGGCTCAACGCTGCTCTGGCGGGGCTCAACAGCCAGATGGTGGACCTGCAGACCACACTGCAGGAGAACAAGCAAGCCGTCACAGAGCAGAAGAAGATTCTCACTCGGGTAAGACTGGTTGCTGTGAAAGGCATGCTGTTTGTCAGCCTGTTGAAACGGGTGCTCACATTCCACTGTTTTTGTGATGGTTGCAGATGGAAGTGCTATTGCTGGAGGCTGAAGTTATGCAGGCGCAGTACTAGTCATTAGCAAAAGAAGGGCTTTAGGCCTTGTAAATTTGGTGCTAGAGCATGAGAACTAGACTGGTTTGTTGTGATGTGCACCAGCTGTCAATAAAAGTGTAATGTATGAAGTCTCTGATTAAATTCTTGGTGTAGTACTTTTGCCTGACTGGAAACGGCTCCCATTGGCCCGGTCAGTTTGCCTGTCAGAACTCGTCATCCAAATTCGCCAGCCGCCTCGACTGCACTGGCGCCATCCCGCTTCGCGTGGGTCCCAGGGCATCGCGCTTCGCCCGAAAGTTGAAACGGCAGGCCCTCCATCCGCCGTTGAGGGGGACAAGTCGAAGTTGACGGCCAGCGGTGCTGAGATGTCGGCCCGCCATCACCTCGCCGCCGATTGCTCGCTGCTCTATGCTCGACCAACACCATCCACGCCAAACATAACTGCCTCCACAGCAGGCCGTCAATCCCCATCCGTCATTACACCTGTTCCCCCTGTGATTGAGTTCCTTGAGATTTCCTCGCCTTTTCTCTCGCAGCAGATATATTTCTTGCTTTCTCCTGTTAGCTCTTGCTCAACGCTAGCAATTCGTGCCTTCGGGACTGACATCGACAATATGGCTATCTTGGCAGTTCAACCGTCTACTCCGCACTGTCTTGTTGACAAAAAAAGCTCCTACGTAGTTTCGCATGCTATCAGTCCCGTCGAGGATTGCGATATTCTCTCGCCCATAATTGACAGGTAAGCTCGTTTTTCATATCCTAATCAAGCTCTCCCCATGCTGGAGAATTCGTCTGAGACGGTATTTTTTCCCTGGTTGCAGTATATCTTGCATCCACGAGAACAAGGAGAATTTGGAGCTCGGCAGTTTCGAGGAGCGGCTGGTGGACGCCTTTTGCCGCGGAACCCTCGACGCCGAGGTGCCGCAAGCCATCGACGACATCATCGCCCTCGCACAGCGCCTCAGCCTCTCGCACGGCGACACTCACGCTCGCGATACGAGCGTTGCGAGCGACGCTGACTCGCCAGTCTCTGTCGTTCGACGATCGCCCCTGAACGACATCTCGTCGATCCACAGTGACGACGACGACCAGGTAAGCCTCGGAAGCCGCTCGTTGCGAGGGAAAGACGCCGTATTGACACGTGAATAACTAATCAGACGATCTCCTCTTTCGTCACTTGCAGGTTCAGCCAGCCTGCAAGACGAGCTCTGACAAAGGTCAACACAAAAAGAAGCAAGTTTTGAGAGCATCGTCCTCGACCGTGGCTACCCCTCTCGACACGCAGAGGCGGCGAGGCAGCTCAGCCCCGTCGCGCGCTGCTGAGCGAGCCTCCCACGCGACCGAGCGACGCGCAAGAAGCTGCGCTGCTCCGGCCTCTGCATTCCGCTGACCGCAACTCGCGCGCAGACTCCAGTGGTTCCCCGCGCTGCATGGCAGCAACTGGCAGTTCCTCTCCCCGGAACTGAGCACATCAAGTATTGAACGTCCAGTAGAACGTAGCAGCTTCAGCACAAACAGGCAGCTAACTTGTTTTTTACCTGAGAGTTGTATAGACATCCTGACTGACACTCGTCCTGATAAAAGTGAAAGCGGATATCCTTCAAGCAAGCATATTTACAGATTAATTTCCACAAGAGTCCGCCCAATATGCTCATCAATGGCATTTCAACGCCGGAGCGTAGCGTCAAGGATGCATGTGCTGCAACCGTTGGAGTGTGAGAAGCCGCCCCTGAGGGAGGAAGGGATGGGCGGCCACAGGCATGGTGCCTCGCCCCAGATATGCCATTATCATGTCAGCTGTGCCTGGAGCCTGCACAACGCACAGGGTTATTCCATATGTTGAGCAGGGAGGTGAAATGGGGGTCAAAACACCTGGGCCGTGAGTAAGCAAGCAAAGAGCACTGCCATGAAGAAATCACGGCCACATGGTGGTGTGGTGTGTCACGCCAGCACTCACCATCAACAGGCCTGACCCTTCATGGCCTAATGCGAAGAGAACACCTGGTAGCGAGTCCACAGGGCCAATCAGAGGCCTCCCATCCGGTGCTGCAGACAGACAGGCAGATGGGATAGTGAGTTGGCTGTGCACAGGAAAGTGATGGACTGCGATACGAGCCTGCAAGCAGTGAGCAGGACCCACTGTATGGACGCAGCCCCGTGCGAACAACATTCACCCGAGCAGCTATCGCCTCGTCCTCTGCTTGCTGCACCGCCTGCCCCTTGTGCTGCTCTCCCATCACCCCCTCCCTGTGGCATGGCAGCAGCAGGTGTGCGAGGGAGGGCAGGAAGAGGGCGGTGCGGTGCAGAATGGCAGCGATGGTGGGCGCATGCGGCTCCACACTGAAACCCGCCAACTCCCTGCTGCTGCCTGGTGGGGGTAGTGTGCATGAAGGGCAGCAGCCAAGAATAGATGTATTTACTGTGAGGCACGATGCAGAGGGGAAGTGAGGTGTGTGCGAGGCAACAAGAGGGAGGGAGGGGAGTGAGGGACTTGGGGGAGAGGAGGCGCACCGATGAGCAGGTGGCCGAGGTGGTCGCACGTGGCAGTCATGGAGATGGCGGCAGGTGCGGCAGGAGACGAGGAGGACGGCTGCATGGTGGCAGCCGTGGTGGGCGCGGCATAGTTGGCGGTGTAGTCAAACTCCATGAGGGCATGGCGCAGCGAGAGCGCGGGGGGCACGTCCGTGAGCTGCAGCAGGAAGCCCTGCAGACATGGTGGGAGGTAGAGGCAGCGACAGGGACGAGATTGGGAGGGAGGAGGTTTAATAATTGCAGCACGTGCAGGTGTGTGTAAGGGCTGAGAGTGGTAAAGCTGGCAGAGCAGCTTCGTGCCTCCCATGCAGCTCCTTGTGTGTGACCAGAGCACTCATCACCTTGCGAGGCCGCACGTGAGGCACCACCGGATCCTGCTCCCTGCCGCCACCCCTGCTGCCTGCTGCGCTGCTGCCCGGGTTGCCCCAAGTACCCTCCTTGGGACTATCCTCAGGCTGAGAGGCTTGCTCGGCGGTGGCGGAGGGAAGGGTGCTGTGGAGCAGGGCGTGGGCGATGAAGCCAGACGACCACGTGCCCGTGGCCACCACCACCGCCTGCGCTGCCACCACCCTCCGCTGAACCGTCTCCACTCCCACCACCCTGCTGGCTCCTGCCGCCCTGCACGCTCCCATGAGGGGATGATTGCACCCAAGCACATGCATTCGCATACGTACGCATGCATAAAAAGAACTCTTAGTATACAGACAGCGCACAGAGGTGGGCAGTGAGCAGCAAGGGGTGAGGGTGGTGGGTTGGGCGCTGACCGGAGGAAGGAGGTGGCGCTCTCCTCAAACAGCTCCACGTAGCGCCGTGATGCGGTATGGTGGCGACAGCGCTGGGCATGGCAGGCATGCAGAACACAGCATCGGAGGAAAGGGCGCGGATGGATGGGAAACAGGGGAATCAGCATGGCAGTGCTGAGGGGGGAAGAAACGGCATTGAAGTGCTGCGTTGGATGGTATTCTGAGTGGCTGCAGGTGTGTGCGTGCCATGGCTTGCCACGAAATAACACCATGGAATGCCACACACTGCAGCACGTACAGCGAGCAGGGCGTGCATGGCAAGGCGAGCATCGAGCTGCCAGTCGGAGGGCAGCAGCAGTGCGGACGAGCACCCAGCAGGCACCTGCAGTGCCGGCTCCACATCCCTCAGAGCAGCAGCGGACAGCAGGTGCGCGGACAGCCCTGCCTGCTGCAGTGCTCGGTGGTGGTGCTCCAGTGGGGCTGTGTGGGACGGCTGTGATGGCACCAACATGCTGCCTGGCGGGGCATGGGACGAGACAGGTAGACGCAGAGAGGCAGGGAGATGGCAAGAGGCAGGGGAAAGGGGAATATAAAGGGGGAGTGCTGGGGAGAGGGAAGAAGATAGTGAGGGGAAAGGTTGGAAGCAGGGTGGCGTGGTGGATATTGCCATCCCGCCTCACCTAACGTGCTCCTCTCGTCTCCCATGTGCCCAACCCATGGTTTGCTCCCTCTCAGCCCTTGCCTGTGTGCACGCGTCCCAGCCCCTGGGAGCAGCCTGTGAGGCGGCGGTGGTCTGCCTCCAGCCCGCCCGCCATCTCCTCCCACCGCCGCTTGCTGTGCTCCGCTAGCTGCCATGTCACGCCGCCCGGCGAGCGATGTGCCATCCATATGTAGCCCTGCCCTGCCAGCATGCCAGCACGCAACCATGGTAACATGCCATCACACCAGAAAGACAATGCAGCATCAAGTCAAGGTCTCAACTTGTTGTTTCGCACACCATGCAAGGGCAGCATGTCGCATGCTGTGCCACCGTTTCAGCGATATTTTGCAAACCCACTTCCTCACTCCTCACCCGCACTGCCTCTCGCCTTCTCAATCCTCACTTCCTCCTGACTCGCAACGCTTCATCACTACCTGCTGTGCTGTGCTGCCCTCTCACCTGCGCCTCTCACTTGCGCCTCTCACATGCACCCCTCACCTGCGCCGCTCACCTGCGCCTGTAGCCCCGGCACAGGGCCAGGCACTATCAATCACCGCAACTCTGGTGTCAGGTGATGACATCAGCAGCGCGTCAGCGATACAGAGCCCCACCACGCCAGCGCCCACAACGACCACGTCAGCCTCCACATCCCCCGCCGCTGCTTCCGCGTTCACCCGTCCCCACTCCTCCTCCCCGCCCCGCGCCCCTCCCCCCGGCACCGCGTTCTCCCACGGAAACGACGCCAGCCCAGCCGCTTCCGCCGCAGACTGGCACACCGTGGGTCGGCGGACGGAGCGAGGCGGGGCGGCCGGCGATGTGGCTGGGGGGAGCGCTGTGCGGAGGGCGGCAGGCGCTGTGGTGCGCGCAGCGGTCAGGCGTAGTAGAGGAGGAAGCGGCGAGCGCGGAGGGAGCGGTGGGGAATGCTCGGGCGACGAGCGGCGGAAGGGAAGAGGGGGCCGCGAGACGCGCAGCGGTACCGCCATGGTGGCGCGGGAGGAAAAGTGTGCGGGGCGGTCCTAGGGTGGCGCGACAGCGAGATGGTGCACTGGTGGGGTTGGAATGTGACTGATGGGGGAATTTGGGCCTGATCCACATTTGGTATAATATCCTCTTTATAGGGTAATTTTGGAACCTAGAAAATTTCGGCATCTAGCTACACTACCAAAACACCAGACAGATGGCTCTGTTCTGTAGGCATTTGCCCGAGGGGGAGAGAGGGGGCAAAAGCAAATGACCAGGGTTCCTACGCAGTTTCCCAACCGAGATCGCCTCCACCCCGCTACAATCGAAAGCGCGAAACTTCGGGAGAGAGGGCGGAAACTGCAGAAGGTAAATGGCGAATTTACACGCTCAACTTCGCGCCCCATTGGCAGGAGTACATCGAATCGCCCAAACCTCAAAAGCGGGGTAAACATGTGCATAAGGGGGTTCAGCGCTGTAAAAAAAAAGGTAACAAACTCAACTCCCAACTTTCTCACGGGAGGGAATTGTGCTGTGAGGGAAGCTAGGGTTTTCGGTGCAAGGTGGTTGAGAGCGAGCTTTTTTTGTCGATGGGGTTGTGCTTTTCTGTGTGGATTACGAGCAGCCTGAGGGAATGACCGTAGAGGGTAGAGGGGGGGTATCCCCACCCCCCGTACCTCCCTCCCTTGTCTCTCGCCCCGCCCTGAAAAAGCGGGTTTCGAAGGGCGGGGCGAGTGGCGTGAATTTTGCCAGAGAAGGAAGGTGGGGAGGGGAAATCGGTAGTTTCGTAAGGGCCAAAAACCCACGGGGGTAAATTGCTGTTCTGTAGCCATTTCCCCTGAACAGGTTCGGAGGGGAAATGGCTGGCTCGGCACCGTCTGCAAAACGGTTAGCCGTTCCGGACCAAAAAACGAAGGGGGGGGAAGCTACCTATTTCCCCTCGCCCCCCCGCCGCCAGGGCCTACAGAACAGAGCCACTCTTTTTGCGAAATGGAGGACACACGGCAATCACGAGAGCCACAAGAAGTGCGGAGCATCAAAGCCAACACCAAGGCAAATAGCACGAATCTCGAAGCTCGAATATTCGCATTTCGCCATCACCCCCATGGCTTCCCTTGGCCCGCACCCCCTCGCTCGTCCCGCGCCACCCAGGCGTCAAAGCGTCACCCCGCCCGCCACTTTCCATTCATCGCCTGCACTCGCCCCCACGCTCTCCTCGCGCCCCGCATTCTGCCATTCGCCGCTCAGATTACACGCACGCCCTTCTTTCAGCACGCGCACAGCGCGCCAATCCCTGGCCGTCCCTTCTGCTTCCGCCATGCCTGCGCCACCCGCCCCGGTCCCCGAACACCTCGTGCAGTTCGCGCACCGCCTGGCGGACGCCGCGCGGGAGGTCGTTCCGCCGTTCTTCCGCCAGCCAATCGGCATCGAGCTGAAGGCGGACGAGAGCCCAGTGACGGCGGCGGATCGCGCGGCGGAGGCGGCGATAACGGCGCTGATCCGCGCGGAGTACCCCGCGCACGGCATCCTGGGCGAGGAGCAGGGACTGCAGGGGCCCGTGCGGGCGGGAGACGCGGGGGTGGAAGAGGGCGATGGCGAGTGGGGGGGCGAGTGCGAGTGGGTGTGGGTGATCGATCCGATCGACGGCACGGCGAGCTTCATCACGGGCAAGCCGCTCTTCGGCACGCTCGTCGCGCTGCTGCACCGCGGCCGCCCCGTGCTGGGCGTGCTGGAGCAGCCCGTGCTGCGCGAGCGATGGGTCGGCGTCGCGGGCCGCCCCACCACCTTCAACGGCGTCCCGGTCGCCACGCGCCGCTGCGCCGACCTGCGCGACGCGTACGTGTACACCACGTCGCCGGACCTCTTCCCCGGCGCCAGCGGCGAGGCGTTCCGCGCGGTGAAGAGCGGTGCGCGCAAGGCGAACTACGGGTGCGACTGCTACGCGTTCGGGCTGCTGGCGAGCGGGTTCGTGGACGTGGCTCTGGAGTTCGGCGTGAAGCCGTGGGACTACCTCGCTCTCGTCCCCATTGTGGCGGGCGCGGGCGGGCGCATGAGCGACTGGCGCGGGCGCGAGCTGCGGCTGGCGTCGCTGCGCGCGGAGGACTGGGTGGGCGACGTGGTGGCGACGGGCGACGCGCAGCTGCATGCGACGGTGCTGGCGACGCTGGCTTGGGAGCAGCGCGGCAAGGGCGAGTGACTGGCGCGCAGTGCTGGGAGCGGACGAGGGAAAGGGCGAGGAGGCTGCGAAGGAAGGGGGAAGGCGGGGATGAGGAGAGGGCGAAGGGGTGGGAGTGAGGGGTGACGACAAGACACATTGTGAGGGGTGACGCATTGTGTGAGGGGGCGGGAAAAGCAGAGCAGCTGTGAGAGGCAGATGGTGAGGTCCACGAAAGAGCACAAACAATGGGCTGTCTGGCGTTGCTTGCTTCATGGGTGCTGGCCCCCTCATGCCTTCACACACACTGAACCTCCACACCCTGCTGCTCCACCTCCTAATAGAGGCAGCAAGCCAAGGGAGCAGCAGTCATGGCAGCATGGCCAGATTGCATGTCACTGTGATGTGATCCACATTCATCCTACTGTACTCTGCTCTGTTGGGCTTAGATAGCCCCTTAGGATCTTTTCAGGAGTAACTCTGGGTAGGATAGTATTGTAACAGCGGAAGCTTTAATAAAACTTGTGAATCACCTTGCGCTAGTGTGTGAGGGCAAAGTAGATTAATTATAACAGGAAAGTACAAGAATATATAGTAGTGCAAGGAATATCAAAGGATACAGTTATAACTACTTTTACTGTTGCTGTTGCGGTTCGATACAGTGCGACTCGGGCAACTGCTCTGTAACGAGTCAGTTGTATGTCCTTAACTGTCGCACTGTACTTGTCGGGTCAAAGGTTGCTGACCTTTGACTTTCGCGTAACCTCCAGCAACCTCTTTCAACCTCCGAGGGTTGAATCGTGGGTGTTTCGGTGTAGTTTGCCTCGCTTCTGGTGCGGTGTTTCGACACGACTGAAGCGCTTAAGTTTTATTGTTTCCAACACTCCCCTTCGCTTCTGGAGTGTCGCTGCTGATGACGTGGCTTTGTCCAGTCAGCAGCATGCAGTACTCGAACTTTTGTTTTCCAAGCTTCTTGGTCAAGTAGTCGGCTGCCATCTCAGACGTGGGACAGTACGATAGCTCGAGTTGTTAGAATCTAGCAGCAGGAATGGATGAACTAACAGGATGCAGGAGTACAAGTAGTAAACCCTAACTAGGTTGTACCCCACTACAGCCTAGACAATATGCAGCACATATAGTTTGACACACCCCCATAGGCAAAGTGGGGGAGAACAAGGGGTCACACGACCAGTCAAGAGAAGCAAAACAAGCTCAGGGTGGATCACAACGTCACCACGCATTCTGAGCACAAGCAAAGGGCCACTGGGCCAGTTCACATGCAGAGATATATATGCAGCAATAACAGTACAGTGATGGCTACCTAGCAAGAGCCAGCATGCATATATATATATATATGTACAGATCACAGTACAAGCAGAGACTACAGCAAGTGTGGAAACGTAGGCACAAGGCCTAACAGAGTACAAAAGCGCTGATGATCACCAGACGGAAGTGCCTTGGTGAATATGTCAGCAGTGTTGGCCCGAGTGGCCACGTGGCGAAGACGAAGCTGGCCTCGCTGCTGCAACTCTCGAGCCAGGAAGTACCGCAGAGCAATGTGCTTCGTTCTGTGCTCCAGTCTGTGCTCCTCACACAAGGCAATGGCGGCCTTGTTGTCAACGTACAGCACTGGAGGAGAACGAGGCTGCTCTCCCAAGTCAGTCAGCAGGTAGGTGAGCCAGCGTAACTCCTGTGCAGCCATGGCGGTGGCGTAGATCTCAGCCTCACAACTGGAGCCGAGAACTGAAGTCGAGCGTGTAGAACGCCACGAAACTGAACCAGAGCCAAGGCTGAAGGTGTAACCCTGTGACGACCGCTGGGTAGCCAGGTCGTCAACCCAAGAAGCGTCTGAGTGCCCAGTGAGGACAACTGGGCTCGTCCCTCCAAGCACTAGCCCCATGCCTGATGTGCTGCACAAGTAACGCAGTACCCTCTTAGCAGCAGCCATGTGCTCAGGTCGGTGCCGACCAGGAGCCACGTAGCGAGCCAGGAGACCAAGAGGGTACGCGAGGTCAGGTCGAGTGCAAGTCATCAGGTACATGAGGCAGCCGACTAGCTCTGGGTAAGGACCACTCGGCTCTACGGACTCGTCCGAAGGTGGAGCTGAGAGCGTGTGACCTGTAGCCAGAGGAGTGGCCTGTGCTGAAGACCAGGTGAAGCCGAAGCGCTGAAGGACCTGCTGCACCATGTGTGACTGAGTCAAGGTGATGGTGCGACGTGCTCTGTCTCGGGTGATCTGCAAGCCAAGGTAGCTGCGCAGCTCACCCAAGTCTGTGCACGTGTGTCTCTTCTGCAGCTCCGACTTCACGTGGGCGAGAGCCTCAGTGTCAGCAGTGGCAAAAACCAAGTCGTCGACATACACGAGGATGTAGAACGGCGGCAGGGAAGTGTCGGTGCGCAGAAACAGCGACGGGTCAGCAGTAGAAGGCGCAAACCCAAGAGCCGCAAGCGTAGTCCTCAGTGTGTCGTGCCACTCACGTGGCGCCTGGCGGAGACCGTAGACCGGCCGCCGGAGGCTCCACTGGGTACCAGGAGGGAACGACCCAGTGAAGCCCGGGGGGCGGCGCAGCCAGATCTCCTCGTGCAGGCTACCCTGCAGGAAAGCTGTGCTGAAGTCAAGAGAGTGAAGCTCGTAGTCACGGTGAGCAGCAACGTGCAGCAGCACCCGAAGAGTGGTCATCTTCGGAGTGGGGGAGAAGGTCTGGAAGAAGTCAACTCCCTCTCGCTGACTGAAGCCTCGAGCCACGTAACGCGCCTTGAAGACAGGCGGAGAACCCGGCGGCCGCTTCACCCTGAAAATCCACATGCCACTGACGATGTTCGCCCCAGGTGGGGGAACCTCGTCAACGTAGGTGCCTGTGGACTTCCAGGAAGCCATCTCTGCGTCCATGGCTGCCTGCCACTGAGAGGAGTAGGGACCCTCTATCGCCTCTGCGTAAGAGCGCGGAGTCGGGATGTCTGGTGCATCCGGGTCTCCCTCAGGGGCAAGTAGCGAGGACACAAGATGAGGTAAAGCAGCAGCAAGGCACTGGAACTCCTCCTGCCTGTCCTCAAGGACGTCCGTGCTAAGAGCACACTCACCCCCGACGGACGGAGGACAGACAGACTCAGACTCAGTAACAAGACTGGCAGTGAAGTCTAGACGACAGGCAGCAGCAAAGTCAACAAGCTCAGCGACAAGAGCAGACGCAGCAGCAGACTCAAACGACGGGTCAGTGACAACTGTGGCTAGTAGACGCGTGACAGTAGGGTGCTGAGCACGAAACCGGTCAGACGCAGGGTCCGGAACGTCAGGCAAAGAGGACGCAGGAGGAGACGGCAGAGGAACAGGCTGCGGAACAGAGGAAGGACGACGGACTACGAGGTGCGCGCTGGGGACAGCCGGCGGACGCGAACGAGGAACACGAGGACCGGTACGACCAGGACGAGCAGGCGAGACAGGACGCGACGCAGGCTCACGACGCACAGCAGGACTACCAGTCAGCTCAGCGTAAGGAGAAGGAGCAGGCAGCGGCGAGCCAGTCTGTAACGGAAGACCAGTAGACGACGGAAGAGTAAGAACCTGACGAAGAACAGAGGCAGACGGCGGCAGAGACGACGGAGACGGCGGAGCGAAGAACAGTCGTGTCGGCGCAGCTGCACCAGAACCAGCAGCTCCAGCAGCTCCAGTGCCTCCAGCAGCTCCAGTACCTCCAGCAGCTCCAGTACCTCCAGCAGCTCCAGAAGCTCCAGGCCCAGAGCCGACACCTCGAGTCCCAGGGTCTCCAACCTCTGTGTCTCCAGCAGCAGCACCCCCAGAACCAGCACCTCCAGTCCCAGGGTCTCCAACCGCAGGGTCTCCAGCAGTAGCACCCCCAGAACCAGCACCTCCAGCTCCAGGGTCTCCAACCTCAGCGTCTCCAGCAGCAGCACCCCCAGAGCCAGCACCTCCAGTCCCAGGGTCTCCAGCCTCAGTGTCTCCAGCACGAGCCCCTCCAGAACCAGCAACTCCAGCACCTCCAGTAGACAAAGGACCAGCACGACTCCGAGCTCCAGCAGCGCGACGCTGACGGCGACCGTACCAGTCCTGCAGCTGCTGTGGGGTGAGAGGCACACGGGGACGAAGGCGGCCACTCCAAGGAGACCGCGCAACAGCAGACTCAGAACCCTCAGCGCCCGCACCCCCAACGGCTCCAGAACCTCCGGTGTCAGTACCCTCAGCACCAGTACCTCCAGCGACTCCAGAACCTCCAGCGCGAGCACCCTCAACAGCTCCAGGACCTCCAGCTCCAGCGCCACCAGGACTAGGCCCTCCAGCAGCTCCTGAACCTCCAGCGCCAGCACCCTCAGTAGCTCCAGAACCTCCAGCGTCAGTACCGCCAAGCTCAGCACCCCCAGACCCCTCACACGCAGGCTCAGCACCACCAGGCTCTACACCCTCAAGCTCCGCACCCTCAGGCTCAGTACCCCCAGACTCAGCACCCCCAGGCTCCGCACCCCCAGGCTCAGCACCCCGAGCAGGACCACTCGCAGGAGGACCTGAGTCACCAGTGACCTCAACCGGCGCAGTCAAGGGAGGAGGGTCTACCTGAGAAACACCTGAAGGAGCAGGACCGGGAGCGGGGAGGGGGTCTACCTGGGGAGCACCTGGAGCAAGGAAGAGCGGCGGGGGGGGGAGCGAGGCAGTGCGGTAGGGGAAGAGACGGTAAAAGGGAACCGACTCGTCGAACGTGACGTCCTGAGACGCAAAGACACGGCGCGAGGTGGGGTGGTAAAACTGCCAACCAGGCGCGTCAGGGACAAAGCCAAGGAAGACACAGGGAACAGCGCGGGCGGAGAGCTTGTCCGCGGTGGTATCGCGGACAAAGGCACGAGCACCCCAGACCCGGAAACGCGACGCATCGCCAACCTTCCCCGTCCACAGCAGTGTGGGCGAGGTCTCCGGCAAGGAGACACGGGGCCAGAGGTTGAGCTGATGCGCGGCGTACCGGACCGCAAACGGCCACAGAAAATGGGGGGCAGCCGCATGGATCATGGAGGTACGAGCGACCTCCATGACTAAG